CCTGGTGTTGTCCCCCGCAGGGCCATGGGCCAGTGAGGAGCATCTTGTCTCATAGTGGGTTTGGCCATGTGGTCTAGAGGAATTTCTTAAAGGTTAGGAAGTATCTTTATCAACTAAGACAGAATGTACTACCCAGTTCTAAGAGAACCTCACCCTATGAAATGTATATTGTGGACTCCTAAAAGAGTCTAGATTCTTTTAAGTTTGAGCAATGCCACTGTCAAAATCCACATTACCTATGTACATTTAGAAGAGGGTTGCCCCTCTTTCCAAACCATTTTCCTGGTGGGACCTTAAACTACATTGATGTGGCAGGCTCACTGCCTCTGACTCTCTTACTATTGGACTGCCCACCCTTGTTCTTCTACTGTTCAATCAACTCAGCTTCAACTCTCAAGATTTTGTCTATTGGCCTATCCATGTAACTTTGGGTTCATAGCACTGATCTGACCATCTCAAATTGAAAATAGTTTAATATCATCCCTTAGACCTGGTGAAAGAGCCCTGGTGGCACAGTGATTATGCACTGGGCTGTGATCCCCAAGGTCCGCAGTTCGAAACCACCAGCCATTCCTAGGAAGAAAAACGGGACTTTCTGCTCTTGTAAATAGTTGCAGTCTCAGAACCTCACAGGGGCAGTTCTACCCTGTTCTATAGGGTTGCTGTGAGTAGACATTGATTCTATGGCACAGAGTTTTGAGTGAGACCTGATGAAATGCCATCAAAGAATATGAGCGACAGGACAGGGCTAAAATTTCAATTCAGTTACCCATTTGCCCAGCTGTATACTAAATTCTTTTAGGGTTTCAAGGGAAGAAGACATTGTCCCCATCCTCATCGTTAAAGAGCCATCACTTTTTTCCCAGTGTCTTAACCCTTTTTCTGAAGACAAATGCTTCCCAGGCTAATGGCCCATCTTCTGTGCTATCTGTTTCCACTGCCATGAAAAGTCCCTATAAGCTTGCTGCTGCATACCTAGGCATCTCAACCACTCTTCCTATAAACGTTCCTTATTGTTTCTTTCGCTCCTGTGTTAGTATAGGTATATGTGTACATATATGGCTCATGCTCTCTTACTCCTTTCTCATATTGAGAAAATCATCTTTAACTTTATTTTTTACTAGTGGATAAGTGACTTTTTGACTGCCCAGGCTTGATTTAGGGAAATACAGAGCTATCTTTATCCATCATAACGTCCAGCATTTAGAGTTTATCTTTTTGAAGCGATGAGACCTAAAAGTACTCCCTATGGCCCTTTTGTGTAACACCATAGCTGCACTATTGGGTATAAACAGGGCACAACCTCTGTCACAGGCACACTTGGTTTGCCTTTGCCTTGCCTTCTTCAGAACAGAAATTTGGTAAGAAATGGCAATCCAATATTTCCTAGGGCCCACTTACCTCATCTTGGAAATGGGGTGATAACCACAGTACACATAAGAACAATTAGTTTTATATGTAGTGCAGGATAGAATTGTCTGGGCATGGGAGAAGACAACGTTTTCTCTAAAATGTCCTGGTGAGTCCTAATCCCCTTGGCTACCTATCTGCCTGTGTATTTTCAGGAATTCAAATATTCTTTCTGATCTTCAAGCGAGGGCCTACCTCTAGTATTCCATTGAATACTCACTGTGAGACTTTGCCTCAGAAGTAACAATATGTTTCTTTTCATTAATGCCAAAATGTTTGCTGTTTGTATCGGGTTCAGTCCATCTGCTTTCATTGGCTTGAGCACACTCACTCTTTAAGGTATCTCTTCCTCCTCCTCGACCTTTTCTTCCATATTCACCTCTATCCATGCTTTGAAATGACCCTATCAGGTTGAAAATATATCATGAAAACTACAAGTATTTCATTTTTATGGATGAGAAAACCAAAACACAAAATCTCTTTCTTATCTTCATTACTGCATGCTGCCATAACAAAAATAACCACTACTGGATGTATTTAAAGAAAAGAATTTTTTTCTGGACATTAAAGAGGCTGCAAGCCCAAATTCAGGGTTTCAACTCTAGGATAAGGTCCTTTTTTGTCTCTTTCACCTTCTAGTAACTGCTGCAATCTTTAGTTTTCCTGGGCTTGTAGATGCATCAGTATCTGCCATCTGTCTTCTTTTTGTTTGGGTATTTCTGTTTAGCCTATTTTTCTTAAGACACTACTTATAAGTGATTAGGTTTGGGACCCATTCTACTCTGATGGGGCCTCATAAACATAAAACTCACAAAAGAAATCTCTATTTACAGGTACAAGGGTTACAATTTGCAATGCATATTTGGAGGGATATAATTCAATCTATAACATTCCTCCCAAAGCAAATGGGCTGCTTTTTCCCCTTTCCTAGTAAACCTTAGTAGTGTAGTGGGATATGCATTGACCGCTAACTGCAAGGTCAGCAGTTCAAAAGTACCAGTCAATCCTTGGGTAAAGATGAGGCTTTCTTCTCCTGTAAAGATTTGCAGTCTTGGAAATCCACAGTGGCAATTCTACTCTGTCCTATAGGGTCATAATTAATTGAAATTGACTCAATGAGAGTTTATAGCAAATAGGGCTGAGACTGTGTTAAACCACCAATATGCTTCTGAGGGAAAATCTTATTGCTGGGTACTCAAAGAAAGAAGGGGATGTGAGCCTTCTTTTACAACACCTTTGTACTTAACTAAGCCTATGGGAATCCAAGTCAGCAGCGATAATATGCTGAACAGAATCCCTCTCCTGGAATAGCCAGCAGAGTACTGGCAGGTGGAGCAAAATTCTACCTGGGATCAAGAGAATTTGACATTACTGCAGCTCCACTTACACACAACTGTCTCCCCACTGATCATAGCCAATACTTCAGAATTTATCTACAGCCAGTCTTGCATTCAAATTATTTAAAAATCCCTATGCTGCCATTTAAACAGTTGTATGCATTGGTGATTTTGCTCCTTTGTGAAAACACATAATGTCATAAACATATTTTGTTTATCTCTGTCTTCCAGAGACAAGTGCAAAAAAGTATTTGGGGCAGCGCTTTTGGTACAGGGTTAGTGCTTGGCAGGCTAGTGCTTTGTAGCAATCTAAGAAATAAACTGGTTCTTTCTTCCCATGGAGGATTGACCAGTAGTAGTGAAACTAGTATTGCTTTTGTTTTTTACTTTTTCCCCTTAAGATTTGCATCTTTTAAAAAAACAATTAAATCATTTTATTGGGGGCTTGTACAACTCTTATCAGAATCCACACACCATCCATGGTGTCAAGCACTTTTGTACATTTGTTTCCTTCATCATTCTCAAAACATTGCATTCCACCTGAGCCCCTGGCATCAGCTCCCCATTTCCCCCTCTCTCCCTGCTCTCTCCTCCCCCATGAACCCTTGATAATTTATAAATTATTATTATTTTGTCATATTTACACCGTCCGACATCTCCCTTCACCTACTTCTCCTCTGCCCATCCCCCAGGGAGGAGGTTATATGTAGACCTTGTAATCTCTTCCCCCATGAACCCTTGATAATTTATAAATTATTATTATTTTGTCATTCTTACACCGTCCGACATCTCCCTTCACCTACTTCTCCTCTGCCCATCCCCCAGGGAGGAGGTTATATGTAGATCCTTGCAATCTCTTCCCCGCTTCCACCCCACCCTCCCTCCACCCTCCCGGTATCACCACTCCCACCACTAGTATTGTTTTTGTACCTTGTATAATACAAGTCTAGAATATCAGATACGAACAATTTAAGTTGAAGGACATGTTTTGGCATATTCTATACACCTCTGCTCAGTCTTCCAGTC